TTTTTAATTTTTTCTTTTTTCCTCCCTATTTTTCTTTCATGTATCAAAGGTTTGGAGGCAAGTATGCACGAAGATTTGTTTATGAGAGTTTATTTGGTTTCCATAATTATTTTTGGCTTTTGTAGGTTTCGAGATATTAGCTTTTCCTTGCAATCAGTTCCGTGGTCAGGAGCCAGGGACCAATGAGCAGATTGTGGAGACCGCTTGCACTCGCTTCAAAGCTGAGTTTCCAATATTTGGCAAGGTAAGACTTGAATTCCTACTATTCTGTAGATTATGAAATGAGTCATTCTTATCTCTGGGATGTCCAATCGTATTCATCAACCTCTATTTATGTTAGTATCTCTGTTGATTGATAGACATGATAAACTGTGCAGCTTATGAAATGATTCAAAATGAGATGGTATTAGCTTTCACAAGCTCTGGGTACTTTAAGGATGTTTGGCTCATTTCCAAACATAATCATTACATTCCTATTTTTGGGAAAGGCTAAAGATGCTTTCCTGCCCTTATCAATTTCTCTACACTCTCATCCTGACTATTACTGTGACACCATTTTCTCTTTGAAACATAGAAAAACAGTACCTCTCCATCCTTTCATTTGAAAAATAAATGGAAGAAGCACTGGCCCTGAAAAAGATATTTCTTGATTTGCTGCTTCAAGTTTATATATTCAGGGTGCTATCCTCCTTTATTCAATGGGATTTACATCAATAAATGCACACCCATTTTTTTTCAACTCTATTATATGGATAGGTTGGTGGTTTGCAGTAAGGCTTGTTTACTTATCTGGATGGCTCTTTTTTGCTGCTTGCTTAGCAGTGTTAAGTTTTTTAGAGTGTAGTCAACTAGCTAGATTTTTTAAATTGATGAAAGTTGATTGAAATCGATTGGTCTGGTCAAATATTTGGTTAACTCCTTGAATTTTGGGGTTTGAGGACCTCTGAAAACTCCTAGAACGATATGAAGGCTAAAAAGAAAAAAGATATGGTAATAGATTTGACTTGATTCCTATGAGTATCTCTTTCATACTTGATCTGTTGCTCAAACTGAAACTTCCAAAAAATTTTCTTGACAAACAGCATCTTAGTTCTACACTTCTTTTGGCCTCAGGTTTGGTTTGAGACGAGGGTTAATTGGAGTATATACTGGTGATGAATTTGTGTCTTAGCATTTTGAGCTTTATAAGTACTAATTACTTTTAGAAAGTTTTCATGTGGGGTTATTTGTTTTTTACAAATGGTTTCTGTGTCTATCCTAATTTGTCTGCAATATTTTATCATTGATGATTGACTATTCCCTCTTTATGATCCTTCCTAAATATCCATACTTTCCCCTTTCTCTTCCTTAAAAATAAAATAAGGAGAATATCTTTTGAGGGATCATAATCCCTTACAAAATCATTAAGGAGGTCAAAACATCCTTATTAGTTGTCATTTTACTTAGCTACCTCCTCAAAAATATAGTTAAAAATGTGTCTAAATGACCCTTGTTTAGGGTTAGGAACCCTAAACAAGCAGGGGAATTATAGTAATCTTACCCACCTAAGAGGGCCCCAACCAATAATGATGTTAACCCAACTTGTTCAAGGTTGGTCAAATTACCAAAAAAGCCCTACTTGTTCAAGGTTCTTAACCTTGAACATGGGCAATTTTGGCATTATTGAAAATGTCTTTTGTGGAGATGCCAAAGTGAAATGAAAATTAAAAAGTAAAGCCTCTAATATTAATTGGAATCTTTTGAACCCTATAATGATTTTGTAGGGTTTTGACCCCTCAAATGATAGTTTTCAATAAAAATATAATGAAAATTTGTGGAATGTGGTTTGCTCTACTCAATTTGGGGATATCTTAGTTCAACGCCAATAACTATACTTACCTCATATCTCAGCTCATAATAGTTACATGTCCCAAGAGAGTGTGTGACTGTTTATATAGTGTCTTTGGTGTTTTTGGGTAGTATCTCACTTATATAAGCTGCACAAATTCTTCTTGGAATTAACCTGCAATCTGTGCTTGGTCAAATTTCCTATTGAACTCTCTAGTTACTAACTTGATATCGCATTTCTTGCTTTGTGCTTCTCTTAGCTAATTTTGATTTCCCAAATGCTATGCTCAACTCTCTGATAGGCTAGACCTCTAGTAAGACCCACGTGATGAGTTTTATAAATATAATAGGCTAGACCTTCAATAGGCTCTCTCACTAATGAACTTGCACGTTCAAGCATGTGCATGATTAATATATGGTTTGCAAACTTTCTACCCTCTCTCTAACTTTATCTCTCTCCGTGCACATGTATTATGATATATAGCAACTACACTATTCAAAAATTCGGCCGCCCGACCGCCTAGGCTGCTGCCTAGGCGAAAAAAATTCAAAAAATGCCTAGCCGCTGTCTGGGCGGGGTCATTATGCACGCTGTCTTTGGGCTGCCAAGCGCCGTCTAGGTGCTACTATCTAGGCACCTGCTTAGGCACCGCCCTGTGACACTTTGCGGATGGGCGGGAAAAAACTTCGTTTAGGGTCAAAATTTTTAAGTTTTTAGGGGGGAAAATGGGTTTTGGGGGGTATTCTAAACCCCCAAAACAAAATCCGTGGCGTTTAGGGTGAGAAAACCCTCCAAAAACCACTCTTTTGTGATTTAACGAAAGATCGATAATTTTTTTATTTTTTCGATGTCTTCCCAAAACAAAGGCAATAGTTTGTGGGTAGATTTGGAGCTTCTAGTAGTTGATTTTGAGAACTTTTGGCAACCCAATAAATGAGGTTTGCACCTACATCGATTTGATTTTGATATTTTTAAAGTATTATCATATTTGGAAGAGGGTTTTGATTTTATTTGCTACAATATATTATGATGTGAATCATGTGTATTTTCTTTTACTTTTTTTTTCCGCTTACAATATATTTACATGTTTGTAGGTTAAAGATTGATTAATTGAATTTTTTCTCATTTGGACGATAAAATTGTGCATATATTGTATTCTTTTATGAATAGTTGATTCCTTTTTTGTACAATGTGTCATTTTTCGTTATTTTATTATTTTTGTTTTTTTTATTTGATAAATAAATGATTATGTATTTATGTGATATCTTAATGAATTTAAGTCTTAATTCTTAAAGTGAAACTAGGATCTTATATATTCATTTAAGTCTTATTGTAAAGTAATATTAATTCATATTGTTTTGAAACTAACATCTTAATGATATCATATCATATATCTTAATTCTTAATTATATGATATCTTAATGAGTAAAGTCTTATTGTAAAACTAAGATAGTAACATCTTAATCTTATATATTCATATAGAACTCATATCAAGGGGGGAGAGAGGGGGGAGGGGGCTTTCAATTTTTTTGAGGATTGTAAGGGTACCTGGTTCCTGGGCTGGCGCCCGGCTGCTTAGGCGGTAGGCACCTAAAACGTGTAGGCACCTGAATCCGTATTTTTGAACATTTATATTAAACTTTTTTCTTACTTAGGAAACATCAAATTTTTTTCTTAGCTATCTGACAAATTCATGCACAGATTGATGTGAATGGCAAGAATGCTGTACCTGTTTATAAGTTCTTGAAATCAAGCAAAACTGGTTTCTTCGGTGAGGGTATCAAGTGGAACTTCACCAAATTTTTGGTTGACAAAGATGGGCATGTAGTGGCCCGATATGCGCCCACCACTTCTCCATCGAGCATTGAGGTTAGAAGCTCACACTTTGCCTCCATTTTAAAGGTGTATGGTTTTTGGTTAATTTTGCATGGGAATTGGAATCATGGGTTGCATTTCAGTGTAAGAAACAGGGGTTTCTATCAGCATGGTTTTTAAGTTTATACCTTTTCTTTGCCTAGAGTATACATGCTGTGTGTGTATAGTTTGAAGATTCTAAGCGGAAGGGCTTATACTATATCATAAACTCAATAGGCCAACTCTTTTGAGCATATCTTTTTTTTTGAACGTTTGTTTGGAGCACGTAGTTGAGCGCACATATTTGCAACAATTGTAGCAATTCCTTTTTTTTTTTTTTTGGTGGGGGGTGTGGTGAGGGATTCTAACATGCAACGCTAGCCTTTTATTTTTAGATCCTTCAATCTAGTTTGTCGGGCTTATACCATTCCATAGGCTGGTGGCATCATAAACACACACACACATTTATGTTTGTATGTATGGCAAAGGGTTACGCTAGCCAATAGGCTAGCATTATTATAGCTCGTCTAACCCCATTTTGGTGTTTATCTTTTTAAGGCCATTATTTGTATACACATCCTCTTGATGTCAGCCAACGTCCACAAAAATATTTGAAAAAAACCAAAAAAATAGTTTTTGGAGAGAGTGAATATGGTAGTTTGTCTGTGTTAATGCATGTTAGACAAGTTAGATGTGATCATAATCATGTTTTCTTGCAATAGTTCATTCTAATCTTTTTGGACATCAACAAAAAAAATGACCCTAAAAAAATGAAACTAGCACAAAGTTGGAGGGTAGGTGAACTTATGCAGTATTGCTCAAATCTTCTTCAAATATGTGTGTGTGTGTGATAGGCACCTAGCAGATGACTTGGACTAGACGCCATAGATTGTAGATAATATTAAGGGAAGTTTATCAAATTGTCTGTAAGAGATGAATAATTTTACATATTTACCTATATATTTTTATTTAATTTCAAAATATCCATAGAGAAACACATGATTTTTGAGTTGGAATGGTTGCAAATGGGTAGAATGCTAAATAGTTCATCTCTTACAGATATTTCGATAAAATTTGTTCAACTCTTATGGATATTTTGATAAAATTTCCGAGTATTAATCTCTCTTAGAATGTACGGAGTCTCTCTCTCTCTCTCTCTCTCTGTAGGTAAACTGTTGTACATTGTCTTTGCAGAAGGATATAGAAAAGCTCATTGCAGCTGCCTGAAGTTCATCAAGGCACTACATCTGATTCAGTTTGCTCTCTTCTGTGGTATTGAATATTTGGGGTCTATGTTTTTTTTTGGAGCTTGTTTGAACTTAAATTTCATAGGTAATAAGGAAGGTCCAAATTCACAGTTATATGACTTGTTATGTTGATTAAATCTCCCAAAGGGTTGTTGTATAGCTGTGTATAATCGTTTGAGTTGTGGTGCTTGTATATTTTAAAAATGTAAGTTGATATAATGTAATTTTTTTCTATTTGATATGTAAAATGTGATTGGTGTACAACAAGAAATATATTTGGAGGTTGGGAAGTTCCAAAGCGTAGGTTGGGGATCTCAAAGTCGTTATGTTGACAATATAACGTACAAGTTAGTATAATATGCAGGTTAGGCTGGTATCTGCAAATTAAATAATATGACTTACAAGTTAATTGTATACTCCTTTGGTACATTATCCCTCACTACAAAGTTCCACTAAGAATTCAAATTTTAACCTTTTAAAGTACTCATTTAAATATAGGTAATTAAATTTTAGATTACATAAAAATACTATTAAGTAGGTATGTTTCTTTATGGATCGAGTATACAATGTGTTGTTAAGGGAGCACTCTAGAACAAACGTTTATGCAGTGAGATATGTTGGGGAGAGGGGTCAACAATAAATTATTTACATTTTTTCTTTTAAATGGCCAATATCTTTATTACAAAAGACCATAGCATCCTTATCTTTAATAATATGCCATATCGATAATATTTTTATTTAAAATGGGCATTTTAATGTTATTTCCAAAGTTATTTATTATTAATTTCATATGTAAGTAAAACAATAGATATGTAAAAAGCAGGTCTAATTATGCTTATTTAACTTAAATGGAATGTGATGATACCTAGATCCATAATATCTAGGAAAAGTTACATAGGCACATGGTTTCAACGCGTTTTATTACGGTGTGGTTCATATTTTTGTAAAAATTATGGCTTTTGTTTTTTTTTGGGTCCAAATTTTCTAATTGCCGGCATTTCCAACACAGGATAGGTGGGGAATCTTGTAAGTTTTTGGCCATAGTATCCAATACTGAATAGGCACGTTGTTGGGTGGTTGTGGTACTGGTCCAATGTCTTTAACACCAAACAAGCTTGTAGGAAAATGAATCATTCCGACAAATGTACTAATTAAGTTTGGAAAACTAGATGTTTATTTTGTATTCTTTCAACTGTAATGGCAAAAAAGTTATCAATCGTTCGAGAACTCTGGGGCTAAGTTAGGGGCAAGTTGTTCGAATCTTGGAAATTGTGATGCAACTCTACTCAATCTCATGGCACTAGTTTTATAGGGCATATGTATAATACTTTTGAAATATTTTCTTTTAAGTTGAACACATTAAATTCCCAAATTTTGAGGTCTTAAAAAACCTTGTAGCATAGGTTCTATCCGATGGAGCAAATGGACTGTATGGTCTCCCAGGAGCATAAAATCTTTTGAGTACTTTATTTCCCTGCCCATTAGAAGCCAAAGGGTAATCTTTTCACTGTTCTTGTGATCTTGTCTCCTCCTGCATATAAATAGTGCACATATCTCCTCATTTATAGTAAATGGATATAAGTTGGTCTCTAGGAGGCAAAGCCAAAGCCAAAGCCAAAGCACTAGCAGCCTCGCTACTGGTGGCGTGGCTCATAATTAGAATTCGCCTCCATGGCACCTCAACCAAAGGGAAAATCGCTGCCCAAGCCACCGGGGTGGCTGGTTATCGGCCACCTCCACCTGGTCATGGGCGACAAGTCCTCCCACAGTGTGCTCGCATTGCTGCCGATCGCCACGGCCTGATCATGAAGTTGCGAATGGGCCAGAAGCTGACTGTGGTGGTCAGTGATGTGGATATAGCAAGGGAGTGCCTCACCACACATGACCGTGCCTTTGCCGCTCGCCCCAAGCTGGCCGTGGGTAGGATCCTCGGTTTTGACTACACCTCGATTGTTTGGCCCCCTACGGCCCATTGTGGCGGGACCTTCGCAAGGTATGCACACTTGAGCTGTTATCAACTCGTCGGCTTGAGACACTCAGCCAAGTCCGAGATGAAGAGACCGTAAATTGCATAAAGAGATTATATGGGGTGTGGTAAGCAGGAAGAAAGGAGGAGGGCGATAAAGTGCAAATGGGCATCAGGGAGCACATGGTGGATATGGTGATAAATATTATCACAAGGATGGTTGGGGGAAGGAGCAGTTTGAGGCTGGGTCCTAAAGAGGAGGTTGTTGAGTTTAAGGAATTGGTGGAGGCGGCGTTCTATGTGGCTGGCTTGCCGAACTTGGGAGACGTTCTCCCGTGATTGGGCTTGATGGATCTACAGGGCTCCCAACAGGCCATGAAGACAGTGGCGGAGAAGATCAATGCCATTTCGTAATTGTGGTTGGACGAGCGGCGACAAGCAAAGCAAGGGGCGGTAGATGATGAGAAGGCCGTGGATTTCTTGGATGTTATGTTATCCTTGTCGGATGACCCGCAGATCGCTTCGCTCTCTGAATTGACTCCCCACAGGAGGGATATGATAATCAAGGCTACACTCCTGGTTAGTCCTCCTATTTTTACTTTTTTTTTTATAATTCAGTAGGGAAAACAAGCCCTTGCGCCCTTTTTTTTTTCTTTTTCTTTTTCTCTTTTTTTTTTTTAGAATTTTTTTGAGAAAATGAGGGGTTAGCTTTTTGAAGGTGTTAGTGAGGTGGTGTTAGTGGACTCTTAATAAATTCTATGTGGTAATGAGTGTATGCTATGAATTTCGTATTCAATGCAACGGACACTTCTTCGGTGACGCTGGAATGGGCTCTGGCTGCTCTATTGAACAGTCCGGAGGCCATGAGGAAAGTGAAAGAGAAGCTCAACGTGAAGGTCGGAAAGGAAAGAAGGGTGGAGTAGGCCAACATAGCCTACCTCCCCTACCTACAGGCCATCATCAAGGAGGCACTGAGGCTGTACCCACCAGCCCCAATCCTCGTTCCACATGAATCCATGGAGGACTGCATGGTGGCCGGGTTCCATGTGCCTGCCGGCACCCAACTGATCATAAATGCATGGAAGATACATAGGGACCAGAGGTGGTGGGAGTGGCCACTTGAATTTGAGCCAGAGAGGTTCATAGGGAGCGAGGTGGATGTGAAGGGGCAACATTTTCAGCTCCTACCCTTTGGGGCCGGCCGGTGAGCATGTCCCAGCACCTCCCTCGTCCTATCAGTATTGTATTTGGCCCTGGGGCGCCTGCTCCATAGCTTTGATTGGCACCTCCCTCCTGGTTGCTCTTCACTTGACATGACCGAGGGCATGGGTCTCACCACCCCAAGGGCCTCACCTCTGGAAGCTCTCATGGAACCTTCTCTCCCCTTTAACTTACTGTGTGAGAATTGAAGACCTTAAAGCTTGTTTGTCTCATAATAGTTATCCCCTTCCATAGTGCGTAGTAACTTGGAGACTCTTAGTCGATAATCGGCTGGAATTCTTTTGATTCCTTACTGTCAAATCTACATATATGTCCCATCTCTCTTGTTTATATTTGAGTAACCTTTGATACTATGTTTATATAGTGTTGAATTATACAAGTCTTTTAAGTTAATCGCTGAACCTGATATATCTTGAGGGATTGTCTACAAAGAGGCTATTTATCTTTGGGTGCGGTTTGTATAGAGCCGAGACCCTAAATAATTAGAGTAAAGTGCACTTTCAAATAGTGTCGAGAAATGTGGTTCAATATTGGCAATCTTTGTGATAGCCTTAAAATATATTTCATCTTTAATTATAATATTTAAAGCTTCAAAGATAGTGTAGATCGAGCAGATCTATGAAAGCTTGAAAATCTTGAAAATTGACGGTCAAAAAATACGTTACAAGATGCACTATTTTCAAAACTTGAAATCTATTTTTTTCTCATGTCCATGCATGTTGATGATGAGATAATCAATTTGAGGATATTTGGGCATCAAAACAACCTTTTCTACTAAATTTTTTGATGTGGGCTCTAATTTGATTGTTTATAGCCTTTGCTCTATATGAACTGTTTCTTTTATCTTTTGTACATGGATGTCACAATCGTTACCGGGCTTTAAATTTCAAAATAGGTAATTACAATAGTGTCATAGAATAGACATAAAGTTCCAAAAAATAATTTTCGAACTTTGTGACTCACCTTAAACCATCCAATTTGACATTTAATGAGCGAGAATGATAGTAACTTTCATGTACAAAAGATAAATGGTCTCTTCGTAGACAATCCCTTTTTAAAAGCGACAAATCGGCTTTATATCTTGCCAGGTATGAGCCTAGTTTTCCATCCCACATAAATCTCTCTTCTAAGACAGTAGTTCTCTTCAGGTAGAGATTTCCAACAAACCAGATATGTCTTAAAGTCATAACAATTTTCATCATAATGTTGGAGTAAATAGAAAAAGAGTAGCAGGTTTTATGTAGTCATTTCCAACGTTTATGCTTTGGCTGGAGAAAATGTTGGTAAAGTGGATCATTGGTTTATGGAAAATTTTCCATGGGCCTCGGACTTTCTTGTGTCCTGACTTTGTTTGCTTTTGTAAAAACTAAAAAGTCTCATGGTTATTTCCCTTTTCAATTTGCAATTCAGCGTTATCAGATCTTTGTCTCAACTATTTGAGGTCGATATGCAAGGAGTAAACACTTACACGAAGCCTTCTATCTATCATAAATTTTATTTGTTTTTTTTGTACAATACAACATTGCAATGAAATTTAATCCACAGAGTATAATCAAGGTGCTATGAAACACTTTAGTCAAGGGGCTATAAAAAACTTGACATGACCCAATACCCAAATTTGAACCTTTTTCATTTAACCGGTTACGATAAAAGGAAGATGTATGTGAGCTATTCGGTTTCGACATCGGACTAGTGCAGGGTGGCAACAGGTCGGACAAATGCAGGGTGGAAGATGTTCTCTCTCTAAAACTTTGAGATATTTTCTCTTTTTAAAACTTAAAATTTAAGATAGTTTTTTTCTCTAAAAGTTTTAAAATATTTTTTTCTAAAAAATTTTAAGTAGTTCCTCTCTCTAAGATTTAATGTAGTTTATTTCTCTAAAATTTTAAAATACTTCTCTTTTTAAAATTTTAAGATGCTCTCTCTAAAACTTTAAATTTGAGATAAATTTTCACTCCAAAAAAAATTCATGCACTTTCTCTCTCTAAAATTTGATATAGTTTCCCTTTCTAAAATTTTAATGGGTTTGTGAAAAAATTGGTCGTTTCCATGAAATGTCAATTCCACCTATTTTGGTGGAATTGAGATTTTCAAAATTTAGGCTTAAAATGAGTAT